ATATTTGGAAGGCATTCACTCACAATTTAAAAGTGTTGTTTAGAAATATTGTCTTAGATATTGCTTGCCTACTATCACTGTAATAGCAAAAATCTGCTATTGTCTTTCACTAAAGAAAATAGTCTGAAGAGTGTGAGAAACAGGGGTGTCTTGAAAAAGTTTATGGAAAGCTTGTATTATGAAAAAATTATGCATGAATTTCAAAAATTTTTTGCATCAAATAAACTTGTACTTTAATTCCATTTTTCATAAACCTTTTTGTCGCTCCTTGAAGTTGGCCCATTGGTTCACCAGTCTTCAGGACAATTGAAAAATCCTCATCTTTTAAATATAGAACTTCTAGAAGATTGAGCTATATGAGCTATTTTGCGATGTCAAATTAATCAATACATAGTTCAGTGCATATTGCAAAGAAGACAAATAAACGAAATTACTTGTCACTTTAACTCAAAATGCGCTTTTTATACACATGCACATGAAGGTTCTTCAAAAGTCTATGAAAAAATGGAATTAAAGTACAAGATTATTTGTTGCAAAAAAAAGGTTTGATCCACACCTAATTGTTTCATAATATGCAGTTTTCATGAGTTTTTGAAGACTCTTGTATATGTCCTTTTAGACTTTAAAATGTAATCTTTAAGGTATAGTTACCCTCTAGAAATAAATTTGAATATATATTTTTAAATTTTATGCACAGAACAAAGGGTCTCTCTTTGCTTTGCTTACTTCTTATTTTATAATGATCTTCATTTCATAAGAGACAAAATTTAGAAAGGTTTAATTAGGGAGTGTGACCTGCCAGGGAGATGATGTCAGCTCTTCTTTTCTCTCAAATCTAATTTTTTCTTCTTTTTCCTCTTTCTGCTTTATCTTTCTTTAATGTTACTCACCTTTCCGTTTTTGTTTTTAAATCTGAATTTATTTATTGGTAAATTAAAAATTGCATGTATTTTATTCTTAAAAATATCTGAGAGAGGGCAGCAAGTGCCATGGTGGACACTCCCACATGGCTGATCACAGTTTGAGTCCTGGACCTGGTGGCTTGCTTTCTCACTTTCCTTCTCTTTCTCCTCTCGCTCTCTCTCTCTGTCTCTCTAGTGAAATTAAATGAATGAATAAATAAAATAAAATAAATAATTCTTTTTTAAAAACTAAGTAAATTTTAGTGTTCTCGCCACAAGTAAGTATGTAAAATAGTATATAGCTTGGCATTCTATAATGTATACATATTTCATCTTTACTTTTGTGTGTGTGTGTAGTTCTCTATAGGGTTCTTACTCTTGCTGAAGAGAGACAGTGAGAAAGAGAGAGAAAGTAAGACATCATCCCCCAGGGGTGTTGGCCATGGCCACAATCTCTTCTCCTCTCCTGGATTTTGGGCATGCTTGCAAATGCTTCCTATATAATTTTCAAACTGCTGAGTCCAGGACTCAAACCATGCAGTCAGCCATGTGGGATCCAGCACACTAACTTTCTTGCCACCTGCTGGTCCCCCTTTCTTTCTTTTTTTTTCTTGCTTTGTTTTTGTTTTTGTCTTTTAATCATGCTTTCTTTTACCAGGACTTTATTTCAGGATTGCCTCTGGGACATTATGGCTTTGTCCCCAAAATGATCCTCATTGTCCAACCATGCTTCCACCCACAACCATGCTTCACTTCTTGCTCTGCCAGATCTGTTTCCAAGGCAGTTCTACCGTACAAAGTTTATTCATATATATTCTTTGTGGGACCTATAGCAAAAGTACTCACGGATTGATGATAGTGGGTAAAAATGCTGATTTTGTTAAATGTCTCTAGGAAAGGAAAGGGTATTCCATAACAAAGAGTGAAAAGAGACAGGAGGAAATCAAAGAAAACTGAGGGGGAATAAAGCAGAATGAAACACAGGCAGAGTGAGAGAGAGAGCAAACTGCACCTGAATGGGGATGGCCTGGTTATGAGGGACCAGACAAAAAAAATCCATTCCCTGCTTGTGATACCTGAGCTTGTCACATAGATTATTGAGATTCAAAGATAATCTATTTGGAGGATGGAAAAATGATGCACAAAGTGGTTCAGGATGAAGGATGAGGCAACAGATGGGGCAAAGGGTGCCTGCATTATATTGAGTTATCTCTGAGTGGTCATCTCACGCTGCCTTCCATCCTGCCTGAGATCCTGCCTCCTACAGAAATCGGCTTCACTTCAAGAATCAGAACTGCTGGACCCTGACTCCAGGCTTCTTTCTCTTCTTTCAGCTCTCTCTCTCTCTTCACAAATGAAATTGTCTCCTTCACTCTGTCTTTATTTTCCACCTCAGCCTATCTCTGCTCCTAGTGCCATCCATCGATCTTTCCTGCCAGCTTTAGGAAGAAAGATCAAGGAACAGAAAACCTACTCCAATCCTTTGCTTGTCTTTCAAAAGCACTGATGATCTAACAAAATGAAAGATGAGAAGTTACTTCCAAGGCTTGACTAATTCATACTTTTCTAGCAAAGTAGCCTCACCATCCCAGGGAGTGGATCTTGGTAATGACCGTCCTATGCCTGGCATGCTCTGTATCAGCTTTTCAAGCCCATTTTGTCTCACCTTCCCTAAGATGTTTCTTTTAACATCTTAAGTCTATTTTGAACCTATCTTTCTTGGATAATATCAGAAAGTTCAGAAATTAATATTTGGCTAATTGTTCATAACTGTTTGTCTCTTTTCTCCAACCTGACACCAAGGGTGAGAACAGGGGCCAAGGTCTTAGGAAACTTTGAATGCCAACGCTAGCTGACTGACTAGATCTTCTCAAGCCTGGGGAGAGCCTCATCATTTATGATATACCTGGAGCACAACTTCTATCTCCAAGTCCCTGTTCTTCACAAGCCTAAAAAAGGTCACTGTTAAAAAAGGAAAGTTTATTTTATAATCACAAAGAAGAAAGATCTGAAAATTGCATCATTGGGAATGTTACAAGGCAGACGTTCTTCTTTAATCACCTTGTCATGCTGGTTTCCTTTTATTATTTACGCAGTTTTACTTCCCCTGCATTATATAATAAAAATATGAGTTTCTTTGTTCAGAACATCAATTGCTCTGAACTTCGATGTGCGACCTTATATTCAGGATTTATATTTTAACTTCTGGTTAGCAATGTTGTCAGGCAGTACTTATCAATATCAAAAGTATGTTTCTACATAAGAACACTATTGATAATTTTTCCCATGGTAACATTTAAAAAAATTCAATTTGACATTTTCTTTCCCAATTAATTGATAACAGATATCTCTGGGTTGCTGATTACAGCACTAATGCAAGAAGTTCTTTCTCTTTTTTTTTTGAACTTCAAACACTTACTGAAAGGTGAATGCTTGTGATTCATTTTCTACAAAACACTGCATTTCTCATCCATGCTGGAATCAAGCAGAGCACCAAGTAATGACCTGATTATGTATTCCCTGGGCCACACGTATCTAAGTTTCCAACTTCATGTGAGAATTAAATATTAGTATGTGGTAACATTTCAATTTCACAACTGAGTTCTGCCTATGGAGATCTAAGTCGCAAATCATTTCAGGTTTGGAAAGGGAATTCAGTTTTCATATTTTTCTTGACTATCATTGTTTATTTATTTAGTTTTAGATTTTTTGCTATAGGGCACAAGCAACCATTGGAGAGAGACAGAGACAGAGTGAGGAAAAATGAGAAATCACCCGCACAGATGGAATGGTCACACCACAATCCCTTTTCTTCTATTCTCCTCTCAGAATTTTGAGCACACATAAACATACATCGGTGTGATTGTCAAGACAACCAGTCTGGGACTCAAATCACAAAGTTGGCTACATGGAATCCACTGCCTTAACCATCACACCAACTAATGGGCCTATAGTTCATGTTTTTATTGAATATTCATTGTCAAAACTAAATACTTCAGTTTCAATGATTCTTTTTTTCTCTTTGATACTTACATGACCAAGAAAAATAAAGATTGTTCATTTACAATATTTTCAGATTTTATTATTTCTAATGAATGTTTTGGTTGTCTTAAACACATCAACAATCTAATTTTGTGCTAAGATGTTCGACTTTGGAATTTGTTAAAGTAATTCTACATTAGAAGATAAAGAAAGTGAGGCATGATTGTTAATATATGAAACATTTATATTTTGGATAAAAGTCCTAAAAAGAAAGAAAATATTAGATCAAATCATGAAAAAATTCAGGATTAACATTTTAGTTTCCTTAGCAAGTTCTAAAAATGGTAAGCAACTAATAGAATTCAATTTAGTAGAAGGAAGTATAATGAACCAGACAAAACCAATGCATTTTATTGACACCTGACCTCAGGGTCAAGTGATTAAAACTTTTTATTTTGTGATCAGCAAATATTTTGCTTTAAATAGCTGCATCTTATTACACTCCTAAACATTATGGTGGACATTTATGACAATCTAATTTAAACATAAGAATAATCTCATTGGGGCTATAGGAGGGTCCTTGAAGGAGTTAATTAAGCATTTTCTATGATATCTAGATTATTTCTAAGTCAATAATAGTATCACATAGAGATTTGTCTTTTTAGTCATGGTTTTAACAGATTTTATAACATATTTACTTATTTTTAAAAAGAAATTTTAATCATATGTATACACATATATAGTGAAATCATTACTGTAGTAGAACAAATTAACATGTTATCTCAGTTTACCTGTTTATCCACCTAAAAGAAGCTACAATCTACTAATTTAGCAAAATTCATAACTACAATCACTATTATTAACTACAGTCTTACATTGTAATAAAGCTTTTGACCCCTTTGCCCTACATATTTACTATACTTTATATTCATTAATTTATCACTATATTCTAGAATCCTTAACTGTGTTGAAGCACTACTCTCATTCTTTCACAACTAAGGAAGCTATGACCAGAAACAATAAATTCCCATGTTTTCTTTTGACCACTTCTCTACTTGCTATATCATTTATATTTTGCTATAATATTGATAATGTTTTAAAAAGTGTTAAACTCACTCAATGAAGTAGACTTCACCCTTCTCTGTGTAGGCCATTTCCCAGTTATCAGGCAATGGGTCTGAGTCCTCATTCTCTTCAGGTTTAGTTGGCTTTGTGTCATCTATCTGCTCCTTCAGCTCCTCAGGCTGACTGTACACCGGTGCAGGATAAGGCTGGGAGGGTGTCTCCCCTGAGGCACCTGCACTCTTATCTTCATGTTCACTGGATTCTGTAAGAGAACAAAACAATGACATGTGATTAGTCATGCCTATACCTCTGGAAGGTAGCTCTAGAATAAATATGGAGTGTATGGCATCAAGGGCTAAGCTCTTTGAAGGCTTAATAGGAAATATCTTCTGAAAAGCGTAATTGCAAACAGCCTTGAAAATCATCACTATGCCTATCTTAGTTCTCCTCTCATTATTCTTGTGTATCCTTTAACTATGATTGTTGTTGACTGAATTGGACATTTGAAGGGTACAATGTAAGGACTAACAACACAGGTAGAATATGCAAACTCATGGGCCATAAGGACGCCTACATCCTAATGGGTAGAACATGTGAATGTTACTTTGCATCACAAAAGAAGACTTGCAGATGTAATTAAGTTAATGACCCTGAAGTAGGGGATTATCTGTGATGATGCATGTAGATTCGACAGAATTACAAGGGTCTTTAAGAGTGGAAGAGGTAAGCAGAAAAAGGGGATGATGAGGAGATGAGAGTAGTAAAAAAATGACCAAAGAGCTGTCAGGTTACTAGCTTTGAAGATAGAAAAACAATACAAATTCAAGGGATATGGGTGGCCTCTGAAAGCTGGAAAAGGCAAGGGAGTGAATTATTCCCTAGAGACTCCAGAAAGTAATACAGACCTGCCCACAACTTGATTTTAGCCCATGGGGACCAATGTCAGGTTCATAACTTACAGAATGAAAAGATAAAACATTTGTATGGTTTTAAGCAACTAAATTTATGGTAATTTGTTACAGCAACAGTAGAAACCTAGGAGGTCAGAGCAAAACCGAAAGACATATCATACCTTCAGAGAAATAACAACAGTCTTAGAAGACAGATCCAAGTGTCCCAACATGTAAATAGTATGAGTTCCAGAGAAACACATGGGGAAAAAATAAATCAATAAACAATAGAAGAAATTTACCTAAGATGAAGAAACACTCACTGCATCAGAGCCTAGATTAATGAAACAGAGATTCTGGGACCAGCAGGTGGTGTAATGGTTACATTACTCGGACTCCCACATAGTCTACTATGGTTCGAGTCCTGACCCGGTGGCTTAAACTAATGCCAGGCATGTGTGTGTGCATGCCCAAAATTCCAAGAAAAAAATAGAGGAGTAGAGATTGTAGCATGGCCATTCTCCCAGGGGTAATTTCTTTACTTTCTGTCTTTCTGGTGAGTATAGTGCCCTATAGTAAAAATCTCTCTCTCAAAAAAAAAAAAAAAAAAAAACAAAACAACTTGATTTTAGCCCATGGGGACCAATGTCAGGTTCATAACTTACAGAATGAAAAGATAAAACATTTGTATGGTTTTAAGCAACTAAATTTATGGTAATTTGTTACAGCAACAGTAGAAACCTAGGAGGTCAGAGCAAAACCGAAAGACATATCATACCTTCAGAGAAATAACAACAGTCTTAGAAGACAGATCCAAGTGTCCCAACATGTAAATAGTATGAGTTCCAGAGAAACACATGGGGAAAAAATAAATCAATAAACAATAGAAGAAATTTACCTAAGATGAAGAAACACTCACTGCATCAGAGCCTAGATTAATGAAACAGAGATTCTGGGACCAGCAGGTGGTGTAATGGTTACATTACTCGGACTCCCACATAGTCTACTATGGTTCGAGTCCTGACCCGGTGGCTTAAACTAATGCCAGGCATGTGTGTGTGCATGCCCAAAATTCCAAGAAAAAAATAGAGGAGTAGAGATTGTAGCATGGCCATTCTCCCAGGGGTAATTTCTTTACTTTCTGTCTTTCTGGTGAGTATAGTGCCCTATAGTAAAAATCTCTCTCTCAAAAAAAAAAAAAAAACAACAAACGAAAAGAAACACAAAGATTCCTAGACACATTTAGGTGAACATTTCAATATTCAATGTTAAAAAATCAAGCTTAGGATTAGCAGGCGACATGATGGTTAAGGCATTGAATCTCACATAGTCAACTCCATGGTTTGAGCTCAGGACCTGGTGGCTTGAAATCTACGCTGTGTGAGAATGCCCAAAATCCAGAGAAGAGGATAGAGGAGAAGGGATTGCAGTAACACAATCCCTTTAGGGGATAATTTATCACTTTCCCTCTCTCTGTGTTTCTTTCTGTCTCTCTCCAGCAAGTGCTTGAGCCCTATGGCAAAAATCTTTAAAATAAAATAAAATACAAGTGTAGCAGCTTCCACAGTGAAGAAATGTACTTATTTATAAAGAAAAGAGAAGCACAACAGCATCACACCTCCCATCTGAAATACTCTGAGCTCAAATATAGTAGAGTAACATCTATAGTAATCTGAGGGAAAAAAGTACAATCCAAGAACTTAATTCCACTGTGATATCATTCATGTAGGTGTGAGTTTAATTGTGTAATGGGGATATTTCTGAAATATTCCCTAACACATATTTCAAGTTATTCAGATTTTTTTCTTGTTCCTATTTAATTCTTCTACCATTAAGGACAGAGCATGGGACTGAACTGACAGGTAAGAGTAGAACATGTACCACTAAGAAAAATTATTCAAGTAAATAAGAAAAACATAAAATAGAGGAAGGAGTTCCTGTAAGGGAAGATAGTAACTGGGAGAGAAATAAGTTTAGATGCAAGCAACTGCCTGGCTCACACAGGGGTCCAGTACTGCCACTTTCAAGTTTCTGTCAGGTATGTGATGGTAGCCATAGGATCAGGGAAAGCCCAGAAAAGTTCAATGGACTGAAAAGCAGAGGAGTTATGTATTCTACTTTAGTTCAGAACTTTGGGAGAAACTTTTTTTTTTTTAAAGAATTCTTTTATTTAACTTTATTTGTACATTTACTTATTTTAATTTGACCAGAGAGGTGCAGAGAGAGAGAAAATGAGAAAGCAAGCCACCAAGTCGAGGACTCACACCACAGTTGGCCATGTGTGAGTCTAGCACTCTTAACTACCATGCCACCTGCTGGCCCCTGGGAGAAATGTTTTAAGAGTGGCCTAAAAATTCCCATTGGTTGATTGGTGCTGAGGACAGTGGAGTGCAAACATTTGGCAAATGCTACTCCAAGACTCCCCTCTGGCCTTAACAGCATGCATGAAAGTTCAAGCACACATGGATGGGAGGTATGGAAAATAGCTAAGAATTGAGAACCAACAGGTTACTATGGCCTCCTCAAAGCAGATGTAGTATGGATAGCTTAATTCAGAAACTGGAAGGAAAACACTGCTGAGATTTAGAAGGGCTGAAATACAGTGAGAGAGGATGTGGAAATAAGACCGTCATCTTAAAAATATGAAATTATAGGGACCAGCAGTTAGCTTAATGGTTATGTCACTGGACTCCCATGTAGTCGACCGTGGTTCGCATTCTGGAGCTTAAAACTCATGCTGGGTGTGTGTGCATGTGTGCCCAAGAACCTGAGAGGAGAATGGAGGAAAAGGGATTGCGGCGTGGTCATCCCCCCTGGTGGGGTGATTTCTCGCTTTTTGTCTTTCTGTCTCTCTCTATCTGTCTGGAGAGCGCACATACCCTGTAGCAAAAACAAAAACAAAAACAAAACCTCTTCAAAAAATATTAAATTATACAATCATATGGAATGCATTAATTAACTGTTAAAATTTAAATATATGTGTGTATATGTGTTTGCGTGTGTGTATACTATATATATTTGCACAAACACATAGAAACATATCTGATGGGACTGTGTAAAGTTAATGAAAAATGGAATCAAAGTAAACATTTGTTTTGGTGAAAAAGATTTTGAAATCCATGCATAGTTCTTTTTTTCTTTAATGAGACACTTTTTCTATGAACTTTTTGGAGATCTTATTATATCTGTATTATTCTGACTCAGTAACCCCACTTTGAGAATACATCCTCTAGATATAAAAGCACTAATGGATAAGGATAACTATACAAAAATTATTATTATAGTATTGTATCGTTTATACTAGCAAAATTATTTGAAGCTATATCAGTAATTATTTGAAGCTATATCAGTAAAAATATGATTTCCTAAAGAAAAAAATATCTTTATCTATCAATCTGTCTATCTATCTATTATTTCCTAAATTGTGGCTATTATTAGTGTGGAAAACTATATAGTTTTAAAACAATGAATTATATCTGTAGCTATTAACCTAGAAAGATGCTTATATTTATTACTCAAAGAATAATCCAAGTTGCAGAGTAAGGTATATTGTAAATTTTATTTTTCTAAGTAAGCAAGTTATCATAGGCATATATATATATGTGTGTGTGTGTGTATGTATATATTATATATGTAATTATATATATAATTTTGAATTTATCTATATGAGCATAAAAACAATATACAACAGACTGTCTACTTTGTTTACCACAGGACAATAAATTTGTATGGAAATTGAGGAAGTTTAATTTACATATTTTTTGCATTCATTTACTATTATTTTATAACTTTAAAATATAATAAAGACAATTGAAAATGAGCAAATTAAAGTAGAATGTCATCTTTGTCTCAATATCAATTATTTGGGTCAATTATTTTTTTAAGAGAAATTTTTGTTGTAGGGTACATACACTTACCAAAGAGAGACAGAGAGACAGAAAGAGAGAAATCACCCCCTAGGTGAAATGACCATGCTGCAATCCCTTCTCCTTCATTCTCCTGTTGGGATTTTGGGCACTCACGCACACACACCTAGTGTGAGTTTTAACCCACTAGGTCTGTGATTTAAGCTACAACTACATGGGAGTCCAGCAATGTAACTATTATGGCATCTGCTGGTCCCCAATTTGGGTCATTTTTTAATGTTAAAGTAGCCCTTAAAAATTAGGAAGCACATGGACCAGCAGGTGGTGTGACAGTTAAAGCACTGGACTCTCATGTGACTGACCGTGATTGAAGACCAGGACATGGCAGCTTGAAAAAACAACTGGGCACATGTACATGAGTGCCCAAAATCCTGAGAGGAGAATGGAGGATAAGGGAATGTGGTGTGGCCATCCTCCCTGGGCTGTGATTTCTCACTTTCCCTCTG